TAATAAACCAGTTTTATTAAGTAAGGACTTGTGTCGCTAAAGTTTCTTCGGAACGAAGTTACGGAAAGTTAATTAACAAACGGAGACGTAACAATACAAACAATTAATGAAAGATTATCATCCCTAGCATTCAACTACTACAGTAAAGCAGAGAAAAGAAATCCTTTAACTGACACCCTCCACACGATGACAAGCGCCTCCTACAAAACAACGACTCCATACAACGAATACTTAGCTTTGAAACAACCTAAATACACTACAAGGTTGTTTGCAGCCCATTCATGTTGTTCAATTTTTTCAGCTCGGACACAGGACAGGTGAACTATTCGGCGCCTCTCCTGTGAAAGTGGGTTTTCTCGGGGATCTCCCGTTTTCCCCCACAACAGATTGCATGGCACTCTTGGATTTAATGATCCCAGCCTAGGCATTGGTTTTCAGATTCCAGCCATTAGGTGACCCTGTTTAAGGGCGTTTATTACAATCTGCTTTGTCGAATATTGTCGCCTTGCTTCTTCTCGCCAACGTCGTCATGGGCCTTGGTCTTCTTCTCTGCCTCTCAAACTTGAGAAATCTCAAGGAATCATATCCGCCTAATTAATAATTATGACCCATCTCCGAAATTATATTAACCCCACAAACTCAGCAAGAACCTGTTTCAAGTTTTCGCGTGCAGGGCGATATCAATATCACTGAATACCCCAGTTTATGAAAGTTTTCTTTCCTTTAAAACTAAATCCCTGCCAAGTTTTTTGTTTGTTTGTTTAGTTTGTAATGATTAAACTTCATTATTTCAGCAATCGTGTCCTCACTTCATTATTGATATTTTGAGCGTAGTTCCAAACTCATTTCACAAGATTTCACCAACTTAGAAAAGCAATGTTAAGTTTAAATTCACATATTAAGCCAACAATACAAATTACTTGTCGTAAGACTAATTATAATTCAACAAATTATTCAAGTTTAAAAATGCGATATTCTTTTCAACAACGTTATTTAATCAAACTGACTGCGATAAGAATTTTTTAAATCTTAATCACTGATGCTTTTAAAAGTTCTCTAAAGTTGAATTTAAAATATGAGAAGAAAAAATTAGAGTGAATTAAATATATAATATTCTTTGTCATTTGTAGTGTAGAATTTTGTCAATTATTCAGTCAAATTCAATTTCTGTTCATATAGGGGCGCATTCTGAGAACTTATGGGGGTTACTTTAAATGTGTTTGATTCTGAAATTTAAAAAGTAGAATATCAATGTTACGATTGAGATTTTTTTTTTTTTTGAAACGTACAATTTACCGAATTAGGTCTTCCATGTTAAACACCACAAATTCATGCTTGTCGTTTTGAATTCGAGATTTTGAAAACTTAAATTTTATTTTTAATGAATTATACAATATAGATCTAGGAAGTTTTTTGTTTTTTTCATTTCTCACCAACTTATAGAATTGTTCTAAATTAGTATTATTTCCACAGTTTTCGGACATTGCTAATCATGTGGATTCGACTTTTCTTGATTTTGAAGAAGTTTGCTAAGAAGTAAGTTAGAGTCGAATGACATTGCTGACCCTGAAATGAAGTCTTGAGTGAAGAACTGTGAAAGTGAAGTACTGAAATAGTGAAAATATAACTCGTACTCGTAGGTAGCTCAGTGTCGTGTTTGTATATTGTTGTTGAGTATTTATTAACTATAGAGTTTAAATCCTACAGGGTAGAGAAAGTATCTAGCTCTAATGTTATTAGTACAGTAGGGCTGACAAGTAATATACTTTTCAGTCTTACGTTACCCTATTTATATTTGCACTAGCTTCATAATCTTGTGAACTACTGCATTATTCTAATATGTCCTAACGTAGTATAATCTTCCTGTTAGTTTTTTCACCTAGTGTTTGCCTTTTGTAAGTAGTTTTTGAATTATGCTTAGTGTCAGGTGGTAGACATCTTTTGGAGGTCACCATTTGCACATTCTGTGAAAAACATATTTTTTGGCTAAAAATATTTTAGCATGTGCAGTTCCTATTATAATGTGTCTTAAGTGGGAGATAGCTCAAGACTAGTGGCTGGTGTAAAATCTCAAAGGCAGCTACTGTTTGCAAAGAAGTATATCAGAAATATATTTTCAGCTAAGGAAAATGTTAACTTTTTGTGAAAATTTATTTAATAGTAAATTGTATTAGTTGATTACTTTTGTAATAGTTAATCACTTATTGGAATGATTGAAAACAGTAATCATCAGAAACATTAATTGTGATTAGTTATTTTCATGACATTAATCAATTTATTTAAAATTTCCATCAAGACAGTTATTTGATTATTTTTGTGACATTGATAAATTTAATCATAATTTCAGTTAATAAGTTAATTTATATAACACAAATTGATGTAATTTCTGCTTATAGGTAATCATTGCCTAGCTCTAGTTACAGTTTGGGGATTCCAAAGCTAGTTTTTAATTGGTAGTTGTTATAGTCCAATTGATCAGACAGATGTTGTCAAGGGGAAATTGTATAATAAGATCAGGAATGTCACTAATAAGTATACTAATACAATTTTAAATAATTATGGTGTGCTTTAATTTTGTCCTCCAGTGGCTTAGCAGTAAGTCTCAGCTTAAAACTCTAAAATTCAGGTTTCAATAACTGTGGTAAGCAGAGCAAAGATAGCCCATTATGTTGCTTTGTGCTTAACAGCAAACAAAGTAATTTTAGGTACATTGTTAGGATTATATGGAGTGTAGTAGTGAGGGAGAGAGGTTAAGTATGCGAGAGACAACTTGTGGTAATGCAATTTTTGGTTTATCGTTAACCGTTTATGAGGATGTGGTTGCAAGAGTTGAAGTGGAGGAAGAATGAACACTGTATGATTAGATTTGATGTTCTACTATGTGTTGAGATAAAAAGAAATAATTTCAGTTCCTAATTTTACAAAACCAATTTTAAGGCTATGGCATAACATTTAAAGAAAACAAGGCATCCATTGGTCCATCTAGGCTGTCCCATCCACTAAATAAAATAAGAAGAAAAACAAAACCTCAGAGCCAACCCACACCATTCAAATATTTATCAAACCTTCCCTTAAATTCTCTTAGAGATTTATCTTTACTCAATTGGATAATTAGTTAAAAATTGATGAGAGGCAGATTTGGGAAAATGTTAAAAATATATTGATTTTAATTCAAGATAAACATGTTTAAATAGAAGAAAGGGATAACAGGTAGGATTAAACCTAATTGGTTTACTAAAGATAAAATCAGGATAGGTGCCCTAAGTTTAAATTTATAAGTAGGATGGAAGATTTATAGAGCTATAGGAAAGCTAGAGATTTGGTTTTAAAAAAAAGGTTCAAGAGAAACAGCTGACTAATAATCTTAAACTTAGGATTTTTTAAGAATGTTAAAGGAATGCAAAATGTTAAAATTAAGAGAGGGCCATTAAAGGATGCTGATGGCAAAAATTTTGTTAAAACTATGGAGATGGCTGAGCTTTTAATCTTTGAAGAATGAAGTTAATCACCAGCTTTAGAAATGTGAAACTATATATATACTATAACTATGAATTTACTATGTATATCTACACAAAATTTGGCAAGCTTTTAGGAAACATGACAAGTGTTATACACAAAATAATCAGATTTTTAATAAAGTATATCTACTAAAACATTTTCTGTCAATTTCCAAAGTCTGTACTAAGTCAGTCCGGTTTGAGTGAAAGGTGATTTTCATACTAAGAATTAAAAAAATGTTCTTCGTCGTACAGTTTTCATATTTCAAAGTGTTTAATCTTTCTAGTTTTATGTGAAAAAAACAAACTATATTTTATCTCTTATGATAAGGCCCCCTTAACTCTTCTCATAGGGGATCTGTTATCTGACCAACCTTATAACCACAAAGTAACCATCAGAGTTACCATATTGAAACTTTTAATATTGTTTGCATATATTCATGAAATTTGGCAAGCATTTGGTAAACATAAGTCTTATGTACATAGAAAATCAGGTTTTTTTCAGTAAGTATTTCACTAAAGATTTGTCCGTGAATATATGGTATCAAAGTGTTGACCTTTTCTGAGTGCAAAGTGCTTTTCATGTGAAGATTAAAAACACTTTTCTTCATCTGAAAATTTTCAAATTTCATTTGTGTAGCCTTTGAAACTTTCTAAATAAATGTAAAATGTTTTTGTTTCTTTTTCAGTGAAACTTTATATCGTGTTATTTTCTCTATTGACCCTCCCTGTAACCACTATAAAAGGTTATAAAATAAATATAAACTATCCCATTTTCTTTCTAGAATGTTTGCATATTGTAACAGGATATTACAGTTGCTTATCCTAAATAACTTAAAGCTTGTAAGAATACATTTGTTTATACTTTATTTTATTACCCTTTGAACTGTGTCTAACTAATAATCCCACCAAACAAGTTGTAAATCACTCATTGAACATGTAACTGTAACTCAAGTTACTGTATTGAATGACATAATGCATGAGCTGCTTGTGAACATACCTCATGAAGAATTATTTTTCCATTATTTTACCTAATTTAACCTAACCAGTTTCTAATTTTTATAAATTAGCTACTTTTATAATAAAGAATAAACAAGAAATATGGTACTTACCTTTGACCATTTGTTTTTTCATGTCAGTTGCCAATGAAATTTATGTCTACTTTTTTATAATGATGATGGTACTAGTATACTAAATCATTTTTATTTACTTAAATAATGCATATAAGAACACAATAATAATAATATACACAAAGTAAACAATGTTCTATAACTATTATAATTAAAATGGCCTAACTAAAACAAGAGGAGCTTAGACTAATTCCTTTTGCTGAACACCATGAGATAAATTTTCAAACTGAAAATAAAATTAATAATATTCTATAATGTAGCATTATATGTCATTTGATAGATTAAAACTTTGCTTTTCTATTGGCTATAAATGATATAGTATGAAAAATGGCAGAGAGAATTATTGTCAATTTGTGGCAAGTGAATCTGATTTTGTGGTTTATGACTCCATAAAAGAAAAAAATAATAATAAGATTGAAGGCTATAAAAATTAGACTTTACTTTAGTTATATTTATGTTATAATGAGTAATTTATGTTAAATTCTTTACTTCAGAGAGGGGTGGTAAATAAATTAGAGAAGAGGGAAAACCTAGAGAACAAATATCACAATTCTCATCGTAAAGGAGATTGAGGATTTTTAATAATATTTCTTTATAAAATTTAGAACATTGAACTTGTATAAAAAATTTGATTTATTAACTCCATTTTGATGTCAAGTTTATTCGTATACAATGATAATAAAGTACTTTAATGGAATTTTGAATGGGACTCTCTAAAAGGTGATGACATGCACTTTGACCTACTCATAGTGAGAGGGTTGATTCCTGTCCCTCAAATGTTAAGTGATTTTGTGTTACGATGCTGATATGTGTCATACTACTAAAGACAATATGTAGTCAGCATTTCTGTTAGCTCCCCAGTGGGAGTAAAGAATGTTACAATTTTGAACCTAATTCCATTGTAATATGGTCTTGCTGGCGAAAGGCATTTGCCTGAAATGTCGCACAAAATAAAATTAGAAGTTTTCATTTAAATGTATCAGTTTATCACATTACGGTTATTCACTTGTAAAGCTACCATATTTGAGTAATAAATATTGGTGATATATATATATTGACTTGTTAAAGTTAATTTTCAATATAGTCCATGTGTAAAAGTTCAGTTACAAAATCATAATCTGGTGGTCCGATAAACTAACTTGTATCAATTTTGTGAAAACTTCTAAACATGTTTCTCTGTCTTGTTATTTCAGAGTGCTTCTTAAAGATATGTACAATGGGAAAACAAGCTACTACTAAGCAAAAATGTGGTTTTCTTTGCCTGCCTATATGAGGTAAGGAACTTGAATTTCAATTTCATAAGCAGTCAGAAGGCATGTTATGTGGAAAATATGTTGTTTATGATATTAAAAGTCATATGCAATCAATTGCCAGAGCAGCAGACTGATAAATTTAACTTAAGAGTATTGTTTTGTGATAGTGCTAACTGAAGTGCTTAAATACTTCGGTGTAGATTGTATTTGAAGAGGAATAGATTGTGAAATAATGATTAGTAAAACATTTTTTTCTGAAGAGTTCAGATTGTTTCTTTAATGTAGTGGTTCATGTTTTCATATTTTATGAAAAATACCATGTTAATACATATTTAATGAAATATAATGTTTTTTAATTTTCTGCATTTGAACACATTTCATGAGTGATATTACTCATTTAGTAAAATGTAAACACATTCAGAACCTATATAAATATATCATCATTACAAATGGATCACAGTAGTAATAAAAGTTTTGTAATTTTTTAATAAGGCTACCACTACTCAATCTCTGTCCTAAAAAAAGCTTTATTTTCATTTCCAATATACGCAACACAACAATATTTTCATATGAAGGTAATGATTATTTTTTTAAGGAATTTTAGACAAAGTATGCTGTACTAATTTTGAAGGTTTATGGGATACATCTATATGGAAGTGGACAATGTTTTGGTCACTGTACTGACACCGTCATCATAAAAACTTCAAACCCAGGAACTTTGTTGTTTATCTTCCAGAAACTAGCACGATGGTCATTAACAATCTAAAAGATTTTTATCCTATGTTTACCTCAAAGGGTGCATTTTATAACCTTATGACAAATAAAAGGAAAATTGTCTTTTTAAAATTATATCTAGCACTGTATGTACTGTAGTTGTCTCAGAATGAATGTACATGATAGATTGATAAATATGTAGATAGATACAATATTTCATCCATTTCTCATGTTGTCTGATGTCAAGGTTTTGCAGGTTTGAACAAGGTTACAGAAATTTCTTTCCATAACAATGCTTCTGCACCCAGCATGGCCAGCTGGTTAGGGTGCTCTACTCTCTATCTGTGGGTCGTGGGTTTGAATCCCTGTCCCACCAAACATGCTTGCCGTTTCAACCGTGGGGGTGTTATAATGGAATGGTCAATCCCACTATTCACTGGTAAAAGAGTAGCCTTGAGTTGGCAGTGGGTGTTGATGACTAGCTGCCTTCCCTCTAGGGATGGCAGTTCAGATAGCCCTTGTGTTGCTTTGTGTGACATTCAACACAAACAATGCTTCTTGAATTAATACCAGTTACAAAGTGAGTTGCTTCCAAATTCTTTATTGACATTTTATCGGATATTCACAGTCTTCATAGTAAACCTTAAACTTAGATTTTCTGGGAGAGGAATTATATTAATGTTTCACCAAACCAAGTTTTTTTTATTTTCCTAATACTGAATTGCTCTAGTTAGTTAGATCCTCATTTCTCTTTTATTCTTTTTTGTTCTAATTTTGATGTAGTCTTGAATGTCTTTTCTGTTTTTCAAGTAATGACACAATGTTTGGTTGTTGTTTTTTATCTTATAGACTCATTGTCTTGATTTTCTACAATCTTTTAGAATGTATTTTATGGTTACTATGTTAATATACCATGTTTAATATTAGATGCTTTATCAAACATTCCTAAGAACTCTGTTATGTATTTATGCAACTTTGGGTAGGGCCAATGCTGGACCATTGGAGTTTTCATTGATGTTCCTCTGGACTTCATTTCACCAGACATTATTAGTTGCTGTTGCTGTACAGTTATAGTGATGGAACATATTTTATTATCTATTTTTCATAATTTATGTGGTCTTTATTTTTTTTCCAGAATTTAATTAGTCTTTTCAGTGCAAGGTATATTTGGTGATAAATTTGGCTGCACGGATTTCTGTTTGTCACCTTGAAGTCTTTGGCACTAAAACCATAAAGATGTTCTTTCCATTTCACTAGTCCTTTCTTTAGGAGATTAGATGTTTCTTAATATATGGACTATACAGAAGGAATCAGTGGCAGACTGGGCCTTTTTGGAGCGCTTACAAGAAGTATATCAAATTGCATTGAATAATGTGCGTACATATTATCAGATTATGAGTGAGGAATCAATAACTTGCAAAGAAGAAGTAAAACTTGCCAGAATAACTTTGCATTTATTTTAAAGATAGCCCCTAACCCTTAATTTAAAATAGTAAACACTCCATTCTATATGTGCATAACACATGCATGAAATAATACTTGTAAGTGTTCAATGTTTGTTTGCATTAACTGTATCTGAAAATCTGAATTGAGTACACCAGCAGCCATTTGAGCCCATCAGATGATTTTGAGACCATGTCTATGATTTGAATGCTCACAAGTGTGAAGGCTTCGAGATGCTCCTCAGGCTTGTTTTTATCATCTTTAGCTTTGAGAAACATTTTTCACAGTGACCTTGAGTAATGGAAAGAGTCGGAAGAAAGTGATACACTTTATTTAAGTTTTCGTATACTTTTGAATGTAGCATGTAGATCTCAAGCAACTGAAAAGCATACATTAAACATTATTTGCCACTCTGCAAAGTTATGAATGAAATAATGTCCTTGTCTTCTACTCTGTGGTCATTCTCAGTTGCATAAGTGGTGTTACCTCCCTCAACCAACACCTCTTCCAAGTTAGTGTACTAATCTTCTAGACTTTGATTTAGCTCTGGATACACATTTGTAAAATGCTCCAATGCAGATCTTGCTTTTGTAAGATCTAGGTGTAGCATGAGCTTACCTATCTTATTCAGTGATCCAGCAGGCAGCCCTTTTTATTTACATCAGCAAAACTTTTGGTCAAAATGCTACATGTGAGCATTCAACTGACCATGTACTGCATATCATGTTGTCAGAATTTCTAATGTTTGATGAAATACTGTGTTGAAAATATCAATTTTGTATTTAATAATTGGTAATGTAGTTGTATTACCTTCTGCAAATCTTGTTTCATCATATTTAGCTTTTTGCTTTCTTACAGCTTGGACAGGATATTCAGCTGACACCCTGACTTTATCACATTCCTCAATGTCTAACAGACTTGGCCAATCTGTTGCACAAAATATCATTCCCACGTCTTACAAATGTGTCTTCTTTAGCTGTAATGCTTTACATGTCGTCTCTCAGTGCTTTCAGTTGAACTGTACACTCTTGTATTTGTATCCAAGCCTGAACTAAATAAAATCCACTTGTTTGAAGGTATTCTGATACAACAGATATGATAGGATGGAAAATGGACATGAATGTGTGAGCAATAAAGATTGTTTCATACCTCAGAAAGCACTCCAGCATCCCTCTAACCTTTGTATTCATGACAGCATCATGTGACATTCAGTGCTGCAATATGACCAGACACTTGATCAGATCCAGGAAAATAGCTTTGGAGTGATCTGTAGATGTTCTGAGCACAGCTGATAATGCACTTGTTTTTCATGACCAACATGTTTTGCCTATCAGCTTCATTCCTTTTAACTTGTCTGCCCCTAACTTGCTCTCATTTTCCTTTTCCAAGATATCCATTTACTTGTAGGAACTTCTGAAGAACAACAGATTGAATAATGATATTGCTGCAACACATTCCTTTATCGAGTCTATCACAACTAAACTGAGTACACTGTACTGCCCATGGCAAGCTGCTTCTCCACTTGTTGATATCAATGTTGCAATCTCCAAATACCTTTTTACTAGATTGAACAGTCCTTGTCCACTATCACTGTGGCTGTGCGAGGGAACTAGTAGCCATACTAGACTACCACAGCACACTTGTCAGTTGTAGTGATGTCTAGTGTGGAATCAATCTGTACTGAGCACAAAGCAACATTTCTAACTCCCTCTAACATACAGTTCTGGATCATATTCTTCATTATAACAAGTAGTTTGTTAACCATTGTCTTACTGATGAAAGTAACTGAAACATCTTTTCCAGTGGCTCTAGTTTTTTGCATTTCTTAGAGTTAGCAATTACTTTGTTCAAATGCTTTGAGAGTGGCATGTCATACTGACTCAGAAGTTTCATCAGTCACTGTGATTTATTTCATCTATTTCCAGCTCGTGTGCAGCTTCACCTCTGAATCCTCTAAATGGAAGATTAGGTTTTCCAATAACCCTGATAATAGCAGTAATTCCATCAACAAGTTTGTGATTCTCCTGAATTTCAAGTTTTCATTAATTAGGCAGAATGTTATGTAATAAGATGTTTCCACTTTTTATACTCATCTCATGCACTTCATAATTTTGCATGTGTACCTTAGATTCTTCATGTTCCTCTAAACTTTGATGAACATGATGGCAGTCACTGCATCCACTCACAAATGAAGACCTGGTATTACTGCTCGAAAAGCATAGCCAAATAGCATAGAAAATTTTCTGTTGTTGATTTGAAAAAAGAGCGTCTTTGTCTGTTAACTTGCTATCATCAACTGTTTTTTTTGGTAGTACACATCTGGGTCAAATGGAATGTTTTCAAGTAATTGAACTGGATGTTGTACAAAAAATTTGCTGTGCATTTCGTGACTTGATGGTTTAGAAAATGTGTTCAAACCATCAGAGATTTCACTTTTATGAGAGTCGTCTGCTCCTCTCTCTGTCATATTTCTCAATACTGCATGGGGCTTTCAAGTGTGTTGCCGTAACGTTATCATCATCTTTGCCAAGATTCAAGAGTTTTTCATGGTCATTTGTTATGTTATCTGTTGATTATTTTGAAATGTTCAATGTGGGAAGTGATTTTATAGTTCTCTTTATCAAACTAATAAATAGATGTGATAATGTCCTTGTATCTTATAAAAATCAAATTTGTGACATTATCATGAAGGAATAATTCACATATCATTTTTATAACAGTAATCCAGCTTATCGTACATAATAAATTTTGCTGACATAAAGCAAAATTTGCCGTCACCATGTATGTACAACATGCCATGACAGTGTCGTTATTAACCAGACTTATATTGACCAGCTAGATTGGTTATCAACTCATGTCACTTTTCATAGAGTCTGAAATGTTTTAGAACTACTAATCAAATGTGCACGCACCAAAGAAATTAATTTCTCTTATAAATGTCTAAATGACATTTATCGTATGATTTTAATTGTAAAAATATGTATTATTATACATAGTACATGAACGTATATGAAATATTGATATTGAAAAAGTAACTTGTACAGACTATTATCTGCTTATTGATTTTCTCACAAGATGGTTTAAAAATTTTGAATATTATGACCAGTCAATCACAAACCCTATACTAAGCATTCAGCTTGTAATATGAGGATCTGTTAAGCATTCTACTGGTCAACTTGCATGCAGAATGGTTATTTATACATAATAATCTTGCAGCTGGAAGAGAAAACTAGAGATGCTGTTCAATCCTATTATTGCTAGTAGGTTTGCCAAATATTAGCAATTTATTGCATGTGTAATTCACCAGCAAAATTGCCAAGTGGGACAAGCCCATTACTCCTAATGTAATAACTGTAAGTTTAGTTTATAACAGTGTATCATTATGCCATTATACGACTAATACTGATTCTTGTAGCTGACAATTTTAATATTTTGGTGGAAAAAAACGTTCTTTTGTGAGGTAGTCCTATAATAAATACGAATACCAACAAAACTAAACTACCATTATTACTTCATTATTAGAAAATAATAATGTGATGAAATTGATATGTATACAAGCAAAACTAAACTTTACTATAGTCTCTCAACTTGCAGATCTACTTCTCGAGGATTGTTCATTATTATTCAACATGACACTTTGAACAGCAGATGCCGATTCAATATTTCCTGTAAACTTTGCAGTTTTTTGCAACTTTCTCATTTTAGAAGATTTGTGCTTTTAGCATCCACTAGCTTGTCTCCTTTTTCCGACATTATTTATTGTTTTAACATATAAAGTCTACAGGCTTGTCAGCTTTAAACAGTAGGCCCAGGACTTGCTCATACTACGCAATCGTTTCATAATGTTTCTCAGATATTAATACAAAACGTAAAGCTATGTGGTATTAGTCAGGAGAAAAGTATGGTGCTGTAACTTGCATATATGCCTACGCAGCACGCGATCTACACAATAATCTAGACCTTCTACATAGAAAGTTAATGGGAATCCCTATCTTTTGCTTAAGCAAAATTCTAAAAATAGACTAGTGTTTTACAGAATGTGATGTCAATTAGAGCACTTCCCTCAAGAGGGTATGAATATTTATGAATTTTATGTTTGTGTCAAGGCCTGCAAGAAAGGAGTATAAATATTGGCCGTATATTATAGGTCTAAATGTATTCAATGTTTATTATAGTGTTCTACATCAATTTGACCATTTGAGATAGATAAAGTACACTGGTTTTAATTTATGAACATAGGTTTAAATTTTATTAAGCAGTAAACTATAAAATTTGATGGAGGACCACTGCTCAAATTCTAGGGGAAACCATCAAGATTTTGTCCAGCAGATCAGTCCACCACTGGAAGGAGGATGATATTTTTGTACTTACTATGTACTGTATCTTGCCATTGGGCAGAAATGCAAACAACCATTTGTCACATCTATGTCATCAAATAATGATTGGTCTTCTCCTGTACACTAAATCTTGCTTTTTATGCATATCAGCCTCTTTTTCTATATTGTGTTTGAATGTCTGTGTATAACTCCATGATCTTCTTTGTATGTTTTGGGTATTATTTGATCATTTATGAAGTATTTATATTATTCCTATATCTGAATTTTTAAATGAATAACCAACTTTATTGTATACTTTTGATATTTAATTGAATTTGTACATGTATTTATAGATGGAGCATTTTTAATCGACAAAAGAAAAAAAAGTATAATGAAGAAGATTATATAGCATCAAAGTCTCGAGGAGAACAACTGTTACACATGGTATTAGAAGAAGAAAGTCTGATATGTTAAACATGGTTAATAGCACTCTGGGCATGTACTCAAGGAAACTGAAGTATTAGTATCTATTTGGAAAATCATTTTAACACAGAGTTTTATTTTAAGGTATTGTGATTTGATTGGTATTTCATCATTTCCTAATAATTGTTTTTAAGGCAAATGTTATTCATGTTTTCCAGAACCATTCTATTCTTGTTGATGAAATTGATAAATATGTTTTTTTTTCTGTATTTAGCTATTCATTTATTAAAAGATTGTTTATTGTATTAATGTTCAAAAAATTATTATTATGGAGAGTGCAAAGCATTTGTGTTCTTAATATTGTCATATATTTTATAGAGAGGCTTAAAAGTAACTCTTCAGCACTTACTTGTGCAGTCTGCCCTGACTGTAAAGGTTAAGGTAAGGATATCATCTTTATTATCTGTTCAGTTTTATTTCTTTTGGTTTTGTATATCGTTTAATGTGAATTTATTAACTCAATATGGACCTTCATGAGATTTGAAAGTATGATTAGAAAATCAGGTTAGAGAGGTAATATTTGTAACATAATTTAAGTGTATGTGAATTCTTATTTTAGGTATTCTTGAATGTTGATAATACTTGACAACAGTATTGCCCAAGGGTGATTGTAATCTGGGTGTATTAAAATCCATTTTGTTTGTCTTTAAGAGAAACTTTATTCCATTTAACTTGAATAAAAATATGCTTTCATTTGCCATCAGATTAATTAAGTTGTCTAAAGATATCTTATAATACTGTGGATTCTTCAGGTACATCACTAGAAAAATGTAATGTTTGTTTATAAGAAGGATCCAAAATGCATACTGAAATTTTGAAAGACACAGAAACATTTACAAGAGGATTGGTACATTTTTCTGAAACATCTTGCCCACAATTATTTATTGAGTCATGCTAGTCTATTTTCTGCACTTCTAAGGGCAAAAAAATTCCAGCCATCACTTTGGTTTTGCATAATTTATACTCAAGCAGGGTTATCCAGCACTAATTACCTATCCCCATCTTAATTACCAACTTAACAATAGATGACATCATACTGACTAAACCTGCACTTTTCCTTCTAATTTTGTGAGTGGTCAGAATTTAACTCCTATATATAAAGTACACCTTGCATCAAGTATTGGAAACTACAGAGGATATGGTCAGTTATGATGTCAATAAAACTAAACTCTGGCTGCTGCTGCACTGGAAAAGCTAAATCCTACTTATTGCTAGGTATAAAACTCCATGTGTATATGTACAATGCTGATATAACCATTATTTCTTACAAACTAGTGGACAAAATGGTCAAGAGTAATGTTCAAACAAATGATAGACTTAACCAGGTAAATTATTTGTATCACAAATGGCTTCAAAACCTTTGAGGCAAATTTTAAAATCTTTTAAACTTTTAAGTTTTCTACTTATTGAAATCTCTGATCTTGCATTTGCAATGTTTATTTCTTTGGAAATTCCTTATAGAGTAAAAATATATGCACTTAAAACTTTGAATGCAATGTTTCACAAGTTCAGAAATTAAATTTCTGCACTTCTAATTTGACAAAATCTTGTTATTAAATGTCAGAACGTATGTATGTACTTCTTGAGAAAATCCACTCACACAGTGATGTTTTACATTCATTTGAGGTAAAGATTTGCAAACTTTACATAACGTTTTTGCTGGATGAAAGTATATATTTTAAATTATAAAAAAGTTTATAAAGTGCTAGACACTATTACTGACTTTTCCAAATCTAATGAATTTTTGTCCTCTCATCCAAAGAAATTAAAAAGCTTTTATCCCATCAATCACTTGAATAGTCTTGTAAACTTCAATAAAATTTCCTTTTACCTTTCTTTTCTCAAGAGGGAAGAAGTTAACAGTTCTTAACATATCCCTCAAGGTAACCCTTTTCCTTGAATCAACCTAATATTCCTCCTCTGGACACTTCACAAAAAGACAAAAGACAGTATCTTTGCTTAGATAAAGAGATAAAAAATATAGACAGTATTTCAAATTAGGCCTAACTAATGATTTCTATAAAGAAATAATTATGTCTTTTGACTTGCAATCAATATATCTATAAATAAATCCCATAATTCTATAAAGTTAGCTTTACTATGATGACTTGAATGACTTATCAAAATATTTTTCTCCAGTCATACTCTTGAGTGGGTTCACAAATGTTATCTTGTATTTACAGTTATTAAAGACCTCTTGTCAAACATTCTTCCATCTTACCAATTGTAATACCTCGTCATCTTCAGTACAGCTAGAAATACTCAAGAGTTTAATCATCAGCAATGTTTACTAACTGGTTAGTTATTTCTCTTTCAGTATTGTTAATGTAAATAAGAAAAACCAAAGGATCAAGCATTGATCCTCATAACACACCCACAACTAATAACAAAAGTCCAGTATGTCAGGACTCCATTAACAACTTTTTGCTTTTTCTCACCCAGCCACCCTACTCTAATTAAGAAGTTTTTCTCCCAACCTCCACTGATGTGATTTTCTTAGCTAATCTTCTGTGTGATACCTCATCACAGTTTTTTTCTTTCATCTAAGTGCACCAATTTCACATTCTCTCCATTGCCAGATAAGTAATTTTTTCAATACAAAACCTATTCTTCATAGAGTTCTCTATAAATATTTACTTTTATATATATATATATATATATATATTTGTGTGTGTGTGTATATATATATATACTACACACACACACACACACACAC